TAGGGAAACTGAGGCATAAAAGCATGCATCCTCACTGACCCACAGACACAGTTAAGCTCATAGAAGCTCAGCCCTAAGAACAACACATGAACTGCTAGACACCCCTGCTCACACAGCAGCTGCTGAGCTAGAAGAAATGATGTTGCATGCATACACTGCAGGCAGATCTTACTTTATATGCGCTTCTTACCTAAACGGCATGACCAGACACGCTACAAGGAAGTCTGCCGTGGCTAAAGACATGATAAACATATAGGTGACAGTGCGCAGCCTCTTTTCCACCACAGGGCAGATAAAGACCACTGTGTTTCCCAGGAGCGTGGTCAAGTCAATAAGGGTAAGTATCAGTCCAATGACCACCTCCTGGAGGCCAATCCCTGCCCAGTTTCCACCTCCTTTCACAAAGGAGGAGGCAGCAGAGGAGAAATTAGAGAGCCAAGATGCATTTTCATCCATCAGCATCTTCCCACTGATAAAATCTGAAAGAGAAGAAAGAAAGAAAGAAAAAATCCAGGTATTTAACACAAATGAATTTGAGATCTACGAAAGGAAAGAGATGGAAACTGTATTTATGTACATTCTCTTCAAGAAAAAGAAAAGAAAAAAAAATACACCTACCCTGCTGTGTCTGCGCCATCACTGTTCCATTGTTATCAGTCTGTTAGAAGTATCTGCAATCCTGAGGGTAAGACTATAAATGTGCAGCACTGGCTGAAGTTCTTCATGACAATTAAAAGCTCCCCTGTGAATGAAAAGTACATCATTAGGTGAAGCATGACACAGGGGAAAAAAAAGAAAGAAAAGCACTGAGAGCAGAGAGGCCAAGTAAACTAAAGCCAAAATTAAAGCAGCTCTGCTAAATCCCATTTAACAGCAATGTGTCCTCACAGTCATAAAATATATTCTCATTATCATTTTTGTCATCCACAGTCTGGGTCAGACTGCTTGCCCAGGCTGGCTGTATTCATAAGCCATTATTCAGTACCTGCTCTGGCCTGGGTTGTCCTGTTACTTTTTTAGGCTCTCAGGTTAAGAGCTTTCTACAGCCACTGGAGAACAGTGGGCAGCTCCATCCTATGGTCCGAATCACCATCCAGAGGTGCCAGGAATCACACAGGGAGCTTACAGCAATTAAGCAAGTAATTTAGATGTCTCAGATGCAGCAGTGACCTCAGACCTGAGTTTCTCTTCTGTGCCCAGTTGGGAGAGGAAGTTCCCAACTCCCAAATGGCAGACTTGGCTCTTTAGCTTAAGTCAAAGAAATCCGTGCACTCACATCCATAGCTTCCTAGCTCAGTTCCCAGATTTTGATCAGATGGTGGCACAGGTACCTGTGGCTTGCAGCTAGTCGGAAGGTAGGACTAACACTCTGCAAGAAATTCCAGCATTTCAAAATTAATTAGTGTGGCCAATGGGAACAAAAAGTCAATGCTTATACAGAAAAGAAAATTATAAAAGTGATTTTGAAACATCAGACTGTTAACATTTCAACAACTCCACTCCCCCTGTGACTTGACTCTGCTCCCACAGTACCCTCAGGTCCTTCCCACATCCCCAGTGCATCGCTACTGAGTGCAACATAAGAACGGGTCAGGAAAAATGTCCACTCAGTCCAGTATACCTTATCTCATAGTGGCAAAAAATATTGCCTTAGAAGGATTGTAAGAGCAAGGCAAGCACACAGCAATATTTCCCCAGTGTATGCTCTGCGTTCCAAGAGTTTGTGATCCAGGAACTTCCTCCAAAGATATTTTCTATGTCTTAAATAACCCCCAAAGGACTTCTATGTCATGAACTTTTCTTGCCTCTCCTTTAGCCCACTTCACCTTTTAGCATCCACAACGTTCTGTAGAAGAATGTCCCACAGCTCAGGTACACGCTGTGCAAAGAAGCTCCTCTTTTTGTTTTGAGCCTGCCACCAGCTACTTTCATGGGATGCCCTCTAGTCCCTGTACTGGAAAAGAGAGCAAATAATCAGTCTCCATCCACCCTCTCAACACTGCTGAGGGTCTCTTCTTCAGCCTCCTCCTCATCTCTTAACATAGACATTCATTCCTCTTCGTACAGATGCGACTGCAGATCCTTGGCCATCTCTGCTGCTCTTCTGAGCCTCTGGATGGACCAAAATCGCAAACAGTTTTCAAGATGTAAATGCACTGTGGATTTATATAACGGCATAATGCTGCTCTTTGTTTTGTCCTTGATTCCTTTCATAATAATTGCTAACATGGTTTCCTTTTTTTGATTGGCACTTAGCACTGAGCTGACCTTTGCATAGAACCACCTATCATAATACAAAGATCTCCTGAGTGGTAATGGTCAGCTCAGAGCCCACTCTTTTAGGATGGTTCCCTCCCTTTCTCCTTCCCCAAAGTCCATCACTATAGAGTCATATTTCTTCATCTATTTTAATTCTCAGTCAATGGGTCTCATGGAGGCTTTTCTGCAAATCTTTAAGTCTTAATAAGTCTTGGTCTTTAATACCCTGACTAAACCTTGTAGCATCTGCAGATATCACTACTTCACTCTTTACCAATTTTTCCAGTTTGTTACAGATGTATTGAACATCATGTGTCCCAGCACCAGTCCCTGTAGGAAGCATTGCTGATCTCTCTCTTCTACATAATAACTCACCATCCACTTCTACCACTCATTTCATCTTTCAGACAATTATTTATCCATGCAACAAACTCAGGTCTCAAGTCACAACTACTGAGTTTTCTTAAAAGCCCTGCGTGAGGTACCATATTGAAAACCTTTCAGAAATCCAAGCAGACGACACCAACTAGATCTCTCTCATCCGCATGCCTGTTGTTTCACAAAAACCTCCCGTATGTTTGTGAGGCAGGGCTTCTTTCTGTAAAAGCAATACTGACTTTTCCCCAATATATAATATTTATTTGCATATCACATGTACCCACCTATTGTTACATATCCTCAGCTTCCTCCTATGACTTCCACCTATTTGCTGAATTTAGTGTTTTCGTTTCTTTCAAGTTTAAAAAAAACCCTGGAAGTATGAAAAACTCGCTAGAAAAACTAAAACAGAAATCTCCTCCTCTGTCCCTCCTCACCTGAGCTGGGGCTTGCCGATTGGGAACTGAAGCTCTCCTGCCCCTCCAAGCTCTAAGAACAAGCAGGTGTGTTGGACATCAAGCTCTGTGGCAGGCCCCTGAGTAGGTAAAGGGTATGGCTTTTCAGGTAAAACAGTCATAAGGAAAAGGTTCCTGGACAACGTTTCACATCCTGATAACACAAGAGGAAAATATCCCATAGAGGGAGGAAAAAAAAAAAATTCCTATCTCCAGTTTTCACATTATTGATATGAACTTAGAGAATCTAAGCCATTTAATCTAATGCTCCCACTGCAGATGTCATCAAAATAAATGAGCTCCTGCAAAAGATTTGATTTCAACGCGACCACATTTTCTAGCAGATAAATTGTTCAGCCTGCTCTCCTCACTACATGGTTCACGCAGACAGTGCGGTGACTGGGCTGATGAAGCAGCAGGACCTAGTCAGAGCCCAGATGACAGCTCATGGCCACACCAGCCAGTCAGGTTACCGAATCCACTCCTCTGAAAATCCATTACACAGCGATCAGCTCCATCTTCCAGCTCATTTGCCATCTCCCACACCTACCAGGAGATGCTAGCGTCCTCAAACCTCCATCGCACGCACCCGGAAGTCTAAAAACAGTCCTCTGATTTCAGCCGTACGTTGACCCCTAACCAGTTTAAATAGGCAAACACAACCCAGCCAGTCTTACGTTCTCCCAGAAGAGCATGCAGCATTAAGACAGGCTCCCAAGACATTAACAGCAATCAAGTTTACTCAGTTTCAATTATTTTCCCTTGATATTGACCTGTGGCCTTGAACAATTATAGATGAGAATGCAGGGTTGGACTGTCAGGAGTTTTTTTAGATGAAATACAAAACCAGAAGAGTTTAAAACTCACATCGTCCTCCTGCAAACTACGACTGGGCTCAAATGGTTGCATAGTATGTAGAAATGTTAGTACAGATGTAATTAAAGTAGATCATTGAACCTGAAGCATCACTGCTCTGGCACCCACCCATGAACAGACACTGCAGTGATAAATTCTAAGTAGAGGTAGGACACAGCTATTAGAGTTCGCAAAGACGAACGCTCTATGAGTAATTGCCAGTATAGCTTGGGTTAGATCTTCTCAAGTGAAAACTAACAGCAAGTTGCTTAATGTGGAATACACCCATGAGTGTGACGCAGTGATACACCAACAGAGGTGACTAAAGTATCCACACTCACAAAGCATTACAGAAACACTGTCCCGTATCATATTATTTTTGGGGTATGACACCAGGACAGACTGAGGTAGGGAAAATGAGACACTGTCCTCCTCTGACATCCTTGGTGAGTTCTCTGACAACAAATACTTCGAAAAAAGAAGACTCTCTTCTTACTTGAAACGTCAGTTTTGCATTCAAGGTCCGGACAGCAGAATCCTGCTGCTTCTGGCTTCTTTTCAACGATCTTCAATAGAGAGTCCCTGAAAGCTCATCAGCGGTTTGCGTTAGAGCCAAACACCCAAGCTTGATGTCTCTCTCTCTTTCTTTTTTTTTCGCCTGTGACTGTGCAGCCAGCAATTCTTCTCTTTCTCGCTAAGAAATGCTACTCCTGAATACCTGGAGAATTATTAATCAATACAGATAACCAGGGGATGATACTATCTTACAATCGCTGCGGAAATCTTTGTGACAAAGCAGGATATGCCATCCTTCCAAGGGATGTACCTTCAGTCACAAAATAAGTATTGGAGCTACTAAACACTCACGAGCTGCAGCAGCTCATGGGGACGTTGTGGTTATGCTACTGATAAAGCACACTGAAGACTCTCTAATACCAGTCTTTCAACCCTTCCAGTAAGGAGCTTTCTTAAGTGAACGGGATAAATGGCCCTGTGGCACCTAGATGTGGGCTCACCCCAGGTCTCCTGCCAGCCTCAGACGCCTTAGGGCTTGCATTCTTCTTATTTGGACATAATGGTTTTGCCTCCCTTTAAAAATTCCTGGGCTAGATTCTCTTCTCATTCTGCCTGATAGAAGTCTAGAGCAACCCTATCATTTCAGCACTTTTCCTTTAATATATAGAAAGTATGACCTAGTTTATTCAGCAAACAAATCCCAAGTAAAAGGTTAATTTCATCACTAAATGGATAGCTTTTCATGGGGGGGGGAGGGGAACCCTGCAATCTCAAGGCTGACTGCACTTTAAAACCTTAATTAGGAAAGTTGGAAATATATTTACTGGCAGATTCCACTTCTCTGCTGCTTGCTAAACCAAATAAGTAAGAATTTGCATAATATACGTAAAATACACTTCATTCCTCATCGCTGGCGTGAGCCAAGACTGCAGCTGCTCCGTAGTTTGTTAGAAAGCAGAGCATTACTATGCAAGCCTGGTGTGTGATGATAAAGGAGGAGAAACGTCCCTGGGGATGCCTCCACCGGTAAAACACGTATTTGAGGAGGCCACGCTAGCAAGCGAGCCTTCGCAGTGACTTTCCTCCTCTCTCTCTTTTTCTCCCAATTTCTTGGGACACAAACGGTTTCTCATTTTATAGTTGTGCAGCGCCTAATGAAAACGAGGTCTGCGGTTTGTCAGGGAGGAGCAGGTCAACAGCATACATGGACAGGGACACTCTCGCAAAGGGTGCAAAAGGGGTCACAAAAGGGGAACTACAGATGCCGTCTGCCACGACGCAGCCCCAAGCTGACAGGGCGGCAGGGACAGCACGATGCTGCTGAGCCAGGGATGCATTCACGGGGCTGTCTATCCACATCGCTGCTGAGCAGGAACCTGCCCCAGCTGCCCAGAAGGAAGCATGTGCTGGGGGAACCCCGCTGGACATAGAGCCACTTCCCAAATAACAAGGCTTATCCTCAAACTGTCTGTGTACTAAAAGCCATCCTTGCTGCCCACCTGCAAACCAGCACAGACCAACTCCTGCAACCTCCCCATCTCCAGCAGGTAACCAGACATCACGTCTGGTAGCCTAAGCGCAACCAAACCCACGGTCCTTACCTCCAAAACTGACCGTTAATTTCAGTCTATCAGCTCGAAGCATCTCAACGGTATCACTCGGCCGGCTGCTCGCTGCTTTTCCCAGCAGCGGGAGATGACTGACTCAAGGCAGCTTGCAGCCTCGCAGATCCCTTCCCACGGAGCTCCTCCTCAGCCTGGATACGTGCAGTCAGTTGGTTTTGCCCCAACACGGTATGCTGAACCTCTATCTTGTATCTATTCAACAGCACAGAGATTTTCAATTTGCGATTTTCCCCTCAACAGAAGCGTGCGCTCCTCTGTAGTTAAGGCAAGCCTACTGCACAGCAGCGTGCTTTCCCGAGGTGCCTCTCAGCCACGGGAGGCTAAGGCGTACAGAGTGAAAACCTTGCACAGCAGCCTGTC